TGTTTACTGCACTCTCTCGAACTTTAGGTAGATAACGTACTTCGGAAGATTCTTCCTGTTCTTTGCACGTGTGCCCTTGAGATTAATCCTTTATTAGCCCAAGTTTTCCGCAAAAGAAGAGAAGACCTGTGTATCAATTATCGGTAAGCAGATATCTTCCCTGATACAACAAGTACACAGACCTTATCAGTGCCGACTGAACCGCCTGAAGAGTTTTCCAGGGATAAGGATAAAAAGGAGGAAGATCGCAGCGTTAATCAATCCCTGAGGGATACGCTATACATCAGACTTCACCAAACATTTTTAGAGGTGATTGAATGCTTGTGTAAGTGTAGCCGCCTACGCTGCACAATTCGAGTAGCGTCATTCCATATTTGTGCCTCTTTGTCGGTATCGATAACAATCCTGTTACCACAATATCTTTCTACGAATAATGGTGACGACTACTACGATGCTGAGATATTTGTAAAATCTGAACACCAGACCAGACTCCAACCAGCGATTACCCTTTCCGGAGACTAACGTGCTACCCATTGCGCCAATGAAGCTCCTGCTCTGCCTTTCTCTCAGCCGGTCCCGTAACTAACGGTTTCATCACCAATTACCCGCCAACGGGAACGATCCTCTGGAGAGGATAACCGTGGGTTCGATCTGGTCCAGGGTCGAAGTTTTGTAAATATCTCAACATCATAACGGTTGTATTTAACATTATGCCCTACCGTTAAAAAATAATATAGAGTAAGTAAAAGGTTAAACAGTGTTAATGACGGTTCGCTACAGAATCCCTTCAGTTGAGATAACATTTTACGCATTGAATCACAATTGTTGCTTTTGCTGTGCTGTGGATCTTTACCTTCCAAATCTTGAAATTTTTTTGTTTAAATAATATGAGTCGAATTTATTACTCTTTCCGAGATAGTAGTTGTTAAGGCATTTCAAGAGCTTCACCATGGGCACCATTGTCAGCTTTAGTAGCAGAAAGTAATTACGTAAGGCACGAAATATTTCGATAATAACTTTAATGTGCCACGTCCATGAGGTACCACGTAAGCTGCTTCTTGCTCTCCGTCCATGACACCAGAACATCAGCACATTATCCTCAGACGCTCCTCCTTAGTCTCTTTTTGAAGCCCCTAGTTACATCAAATTCCAGGTGACCGCCCTACACGAAACGAGAAGTATGAACATCAACATAAACCAATTCGATGACGGAATCCTTGTCATTCGTGGAGGAAAAATTCCGTTACCAAATGTCAGAAGTGTTGGCTTTACCGTACACTCATCTATGTCCCATCTAACTACCGCGAACGAAACCCTATCATCGTGCCTGGCGATTCTTTGTCTCCAACTTGCGCGTCAAAAAAAGTCAGTATCATCAACTATTACGAACTCGTACAGCTGATGAGAGTGAATTGAACCCGTTCTACAAGCACTTGGTGAATCCGCAACGATAACTCTTTCCTTAAATTCGTTGTTGAGCACTTCAATGTTAGATTAGGAACGGCCAACGAAAGTAAGTACAGGATAGGGAAATTCGGACTAGATGAACGAAATGAGAAAGGAAACTGTTGTGCAAGTTTCCTCTCCGCAGCATGTCTCCTCCATGGGAATTCATTTTTCGAGAATGGAGAAAATAGCCGATGCACATAGGAGTCACTTAAAGGTTCATGTGGAAATCGATTATATTCTTACGAATAAAAAATGATGCCTCCTTGACACCTCGGTGGTTCCAGGCAACTATAATCTGATCACTGCCTTTTTCGTGAGATTTGTTTGAACCATAAGCTAGAGAAGAACTCCTGTCATCGTCCAAGAGAATTGAAATAAATTGTGTACGAGGGAAATGTTGTTGGGACGGCTCGTTGATATAGGAATACCAAGTAGTTAAGACGAGACGAATTTATTGCTCGCCTTTGTATACGCCACGCGGGACTTCTTGTAAGTAGCAGTCACAATGCCGGAAACCTCAAACTTGGGTAATTAAACCATTTATCATAATTATACAACAATCATAGCAATACAACTCTACAGAAAATGCAACAATGATACGGGTTATGAGTAGGCGTAGCCTGACCACTGGTTTTCAGGTTGCTTATGACTAAAGAGATTGGGATGACAGTACAACTGTGTAATTAATGCAACGATGATTCGGGTAATGAATAGATGCAGCCTGGTCACTGGTGGTCATGTTGCTTATGAGTGAAGAGATTGGCATAACAGTACAACTGTATGATTAATGCAACGGTAATACAATAATGTGTGATATTTGGCGATATGTAAGCTGGATGGATAAAGGCGGAATTGAAATGGTAACAAGTGATACACTTGAAGGAATTAACGCGGACACTGGTGTTGGAGCACTGAGGAATTGAAGGACCGGAAGTAGACCGGTCGAACGCGGCTAAGATTTCAGGACCAGTCCTATGGGCTGCCTGTATTACATCTGTAGTGGGTGGAGCTTTGCCAGAGAGAACTAAAGGCAACGTCCGGAGAGGGGTTGCATGTGGAAGGGTGCAGGTGTCCGTTCGGAGACTTTTTTGGAACGACAGATGCTGAAAAGTGCGTTCAGCTGACTGCTGCCGATTCCCTTTCCAGCCACCTGCGAGGCAATTGCATGAAACGGTTGTTAAGAGATGATTTACCGAATGTGCAAGAATAAATGTATAACGATTACGAATAGACAGGTGTTGTATAAGGCATAAGGTTATAATTGTTCTACATAGAAAACATTCCAATATTCGTGAAGAATGTTCTCTATAAATGTTTCGAGCTTACACGAGGTTGTTATGAAGTCTGTATTCGGAGTGGGGCATCGCTAGAATGAAACCTCACTCGGTGGTGTCCTTCCAAACATGGTAGTTGTTGGCTGATTGTTGACTGACTGTCAGCTGGTAGTGATTTGTTTTCATGGCGATGATTTATCCTGTAGCAGTTAGTATTAGAATAGCTAGCACATAGTGAAATAGTACTTTACCAAACAGGCTTTCACTTAACATCGGCGTGAATGATCAATAATTTTGAAACTGACCATAATTGAACCCCGGTAGTAAAATAATCAACGTTTGTTTAAAAAGTTGAGCTTAAACGTGGTTGATAAAATAGTTTTATTCGGCTAATATTCCGACTTCTTCGTCTTCATCGGAGCCAATGATCCGAGTCGATGGTCCGTAGTAGTGGACCACAACCGAACAAAACTATGTTGTCAACCTCGTGTAAGCTCACGAACTTAAACACATGAATGTTCGAACTATTTTGGATTGTTCGGCTTACATAAGACCGTTATATTACTTTTATTCGAGTGACGTTTCGCTGCATAAAATGACACCGCCGAGTGAGGTCACTGTATTTGAGTGGTGCTCCAATCAAGAAGATTCGACTCGATACGACTGCAAAAACACCACATCGAGAACACGAACAACTGTTGAACCTGAATTCGGATTATCCGCTCTAAAAAAGACGGAGACGTCAACGCATTAGCGGAATAAAAGTTATATAACAACCTAACAAAGGGACCTTGCATTAGGCACAACCAGTTGAGGTAGCATCTGCATCCTGTAGTCACTTTTGTCTACTATGAAACAACGTTTGACGGCCTCGAAAGGAATGGAACCTTATCAGTTATCGTCGACCAAGGAGTGGACCCATCCTATGTACGGACTTCATCTGATTGTTATCGGACTGCAATACGAAAATACAGCGTACCCATATATTTCTTACCTTATCCATAAGAAAATGAGTTCGACGAGGCGATACAATCCTCCTAGACCTGTTTATAGGCGTACTGCCATTGATAATGAAGTCGCTCGACTGAGACGAGGAAATCGTACGTATTGACAGAAATTCTTGTCAAATGTTCGTTCTGTGTTCAACAGTGAACAACATTCTCCCTAACACTACTCTCAATTACTATGAAGCTGTGATATTTGCAAAAATTGTATCCAGATCAGAGAAGAATCCATGATTAACCTTTCCGGGAACTAACATGCTACTCATTGCACCACTATGCCCCTTTGTTTGCTTTTCAGCCAGGTTTCTGCTTAACAATGCTCTCAGTAATAACCCGTCAACGGGATCAACCTGGAAACACAAATCGGCAGTAAGCTGAGGCTGTACTCATCGCAATGTGTAAACCTTTACTTACTGCTTAGTATCATTTCCGTTGACGAGTGATTACAGATGACATCGTTAAGTAGGAAACTGCTCGAGAGAAAGGCGAAGGAAGAACCGCAGTGATGCAGTAGGTAAGACGCGAGTCCCCCTGAAAGGGAAAACCGTAGGTCTGAACTTGACCTGGCGTCCAAGTTTTGCAAATATCTCAACATCATGTGGATAACGAGATAGCACAACACTGCGTCATCAACCCACCCTCACTATTAAGGTTCCCTGATATGTAGAATAGTGAAATATCAAGTCCGATTTAATTTCGACCGAATTGTCAGGAGCTTTTATTGGGATTCTGCGTTAGCTCCAGTTGGATCACGATGCCCCAGTGAAAAATGTATTTGTTAAGTAGTCTACTCGACATCTTCAGAGTTACCATTGTTTCATTGTCATATAGAAATAGCCATCATCTTGCATCAGTTGGGAATGCAACCATATCGCTCTCAAAGAATCGGAACTAGTTTTGATTCAAAACCAAAGAATCAGGACTAACCACTCAAAACTAATCAACATAAAATAAGCCCTCAGAACTTTTCTTTAAAATCATCTCCTTCATTCACCAAACAAGCGCTTGTGATACTTATGTCACAGAAGCGATTTGTAGGTAGAGTAATTGAAAAATAAGAAAAGGAATGATAACAACAGTTCCAATTGAAGGAAATAGAAAGACCAACAATAACATGTCAAGCATACAAGCCAACCGTTACACAAGCAACAAGAAAAGAGAACTAAAATTGACCAACAATGTATTTTAATGTAATAGAACACTATCAATGAACCATAAAACTCCAAAAAACAACTACGAGAACGAAATAAGGAGCAGGACAGGATTTTTGTACCTATATCACACGACTTCCCTTTGTCACTTCTGCTGCAAGTCGCTTCTCCACAAGTTTGCTCTGGAACGAAGTTCGATAGTTAAAATTTAAAACTCTCAAATTCCCTTTCCTAATATGTCACATAAGGCGTCATTACTCAGGTAAGACTCCATTTCTTGAACTGTTCTTAGCACAACGTATAAAAATACAAATTAATACAATGCTCTATGTTGAAAATTACTTGTTTTTCAACCTTCGTTACCTTTAACTTTAACTTGAGCTTATTCTTTTCACGTTCTCCTCCTATAGGCAACATATTCCTCTTTTGAAGACTTGTCATACGATCCTTCAATACATGACCTTGTGGTTTCAATAATCGCAAACAATCGGTCAGCTCCTCCTTAAAAGTAATATGTAGAACAGATAGCAAACGTAAGGGTATATCAGTACCTGCAACAAGAATGGTTCCTCCTCGTCCTTAAACTTTCCACGTCCCAACCGCTGTCTATTAGTCATCTAGGAGAATACATCAGACGAATTAATCATACTTGACTCAGACTACTTTAAATAGTTGAGTACTGAAATTACCTTTTTCATGAACTTCTCTTTCCTTCGTTTCAAACGCTCTTCTTCACTCAATACCTCTCTCCGCGAAAGTTCCTTATTTATTTTCTTAGCTCTGAAACATCCATAACATTGTGGAAATCATGGTATGCGATACATAAGCCTAGTTGTAAGGTGTTAAAAAGGTAGCAAAAACACTGAGACAATAGCGTTATAGGAAAAATTCTTATGAATTTACATAACTGGCTTTTCTCTCTTTCGTTTACATTGCTTCAGGGCTAAGAATCCACACCGTCAAAGTCATCAATATTTTCATTAACTTTGCCGGCTATAAGAAAAATTATGTCAGCAATTGCCACTATAAGGCAGAAATCTAGTCACAAGGTAACAAACCCACAACTGACAATCAAAGGTTGGCAAAACCTGTAACGATGACTTGAAAATAAGGATATCTCCGCCACAAGGCACAAGGAAAAAAGTCTGCCCAATAATAGCTTCCCTTAATACCTCAATAATATGATCAATGTGTAAGGAAACTAGCCCAATCGCATTCTATCGTTCACCAAGCGCTGAAGTATCCGTCACACCACACCCATACCAAAACCCCTGCTGAAGAAAAATTATCAAAGATACTCAAATGACACTAGGACAATGAGAAGCAGTAAAATTCGGGAGCTGAATACATTAAAACAGATTTCTCCAAATTTAAGCCACCAAATACAGTCAGAGAGAGAATAGCGCAGTGGTAATGACACTGTGCACTACCAGCAAGACTCTGATTCCATCTCTTCCCTGGTCTACCAAATTCTCTACCTCTCTGAGGTCGGGAAATCGATACTAGAGTTGTCTGGAAGTAACTAAGTCCTCCCAGTCCACGTGGTAACGCCCTAGATCGGTTACACATGATTGTACGGAGGATCAAATTAATCATCATTCAAAGACATTAATAAAAAGGCCAAAATCCTCAAGAAGCAGCCGAACCTACGTGTAAACGTAAAGACTTTCGTGGATGATGAATGCGAAGAAACGAATAAAATGAAAGAGATTCTAGGACCATTGTGCTATTCATTCACGAAGTCATAGAAACATATGAATGTGTCGTTTTCTTGTTCAGCAATCGCGAGGTTTTTAAACAGCATACATTTACTTCCATAAAAACACAATACAATACAACGCTAGCTGACGTTTCGGCAGTATCGCCTTCTTCAGAGCCTGGAAGGGTATACTGATATACAATCTACTAGGCCAAACGCTTCAATAACACTTACAAGAAGACGAAGAACTCTCTGGCAATTACATAATCAACAACTTCTGTTGTTGTTGATTATGTAATTGCCAGAGAGTTCTTCGTCTTCTTGTAAGTGTTATTGAAGCGTTTGGCCTAGTAGATTGTATATCAGTATACCCTTCCAGGCTCTGAAGAAGGCGATACTGCCGAAACGTCAGCTAGCGTTGTATTGTATTGTGTTTTTATGGAAGTAAATGTATGCTGTTTAAAAACCTCGCGATTGCTGAACAAGAAAACGACACATTCATATTCCAATGCCGAGGTTAAGAGAAAGTCGATCTTGGGAACTCATAGAAACATACTTGTATACATCATGCTGCTTTTTTTCAATCTCCTTTCGTCGTTTTTGTTCTCGCAAGAACTTCTTCTCCTTTGCAGCGTTTTGTCTTTGCTTACGAGTCTTTCGCATGAGATCAGAAATAACAATTTTCTCACCTAAAACGAGTTGTGAGTGGTAAAATCACTTGAAGAAAAGCTGCGCAGCAGAGGAAAATCATCACTAAATAGAATGGATATGATTCTTACGCAATTTTTTTAAGCTTATTTGTGAAGTGAAGATAACAAGCATAAAAATCTTTGTATGAAAATTGAATACTTCTCCTTTTCAACTGCAGTTCATCAAATTTCGTCGAGGAATTTTCATGCAACATTTCACTATTTGGAGCACACAGTTGGTGTTTCGCCGTTAAATCATAACGCCACATGTGCGCAATAATGTGTCCATAATGAATTCAGTGAGTTCCAGAGTCTTCTTTCTACAGCATTATGTATATTCGTAAAGGACCACATGTAGCGCAATGGTCGGAGGCGCCCTGCAATACCCATGGTACCGTGCCCACCAAGCCTTTCATACCTCCGGGGTTGGAAAATTGGTACCAGACTTGCATGGGAGGATGGCAGCACTGGCTCGATACATCGCTAGGCCACCGCGAGTCATTGTAAAAGCCAGATATTCAACGAAAGCCTTATCCTTTTAATCCTTTACTTATACTCATTTGTCGTTTACAGCACCATAGCTAATAGAAAGTAAATCGGAATAGGAGGGGTGAGACTTTTCTACGGCTTTACGTATACACATTTAATGATTTACAAAACAGGTTTTTTTTCGAAGAAGTTAATTTACCTATAATAAAACCAAAAAATTATTTTTATTACTGTTTTTTCATTTTAATCCCTACGGTCACTGTATAGAATTTTGGGACATAAAAACACCAAAATAAACTCAAAAAGCGCGCAAAACACTTCCAAGTGCTGACAGCAATGTATTAGCATAACAGACCAGGAGTCAATAATAGTATCATTCATAGCATAGCACGATAGAACAAAGTCTATTCTGCAATGTTAACATGTTATAAAATCCATAAAGCACTCTAGTTATTGAAAAATTATTTTTTTATCACCAAAGTACACAAAAGGATAAAGGATAAAGCTCCTGGCGTTGATCAATCCCTGAGGGACGCACCATGCATTCGACTTCAATAAGCATCCTTTGAAGGTGACTGAATAAATATTTGGCCTTTATAATAACTCGCGGTGGCCTACCGATGTATCGAGCCAGTGCTGCTAACCTCCTAGAGAACTCTGGTACCAATTTTCCTGCCGCGGAGTGATAGAAGACTTGGTGGGCCATAGACACGGAGATCGATTCCATGTGTGTTGCAGAGCGCCTCCGACCACTGCGCCACACGCGCCCATACCACCAAAGTAGCCACAGAAAATGGCGGCGGGGCGTTATGAGTCAGTCAAAACGGATCTATTTTTCTCAATAAAGGAAGTTCGTCCACTAGAGAACAAGCAGAGAAAACGCTATTGAAAAGAAAAAAAATGGAAGTCAGGAAAAAAGAAAATGACTATGAATGAAGACTTGTAACTAGCCTTTAATCTGTGCATGCCCATCGTCAATGTGATCTTTTATATCCAAACCACCATCATCCATATCATATCGTGGATCTATGACAAGTCCTTCAGTCTCTTCCAAACTTTTCTCTCCCTAAAAGTTAGAGCACTGCTTTAACACACAACGTTCAGCATTCATAGCACATGAAACGTACATAAGTAATTACGCTCTCCAGTTGAGGCCTGATGCCCTTTTCAATTCGCTCCTCTTCCTTTATCAGATTAGTTTCATCGACAGCTATTTTCGAAATATATTTCTATAGAAAGAAAGCATTAGTAAGCAGAGGACTGGCTGCGGCAATCAATGCAATGATTGATGGCACAATAAAGCTACGAAACCTGATAATCATCCGCCTTCGGGTTGTAGGATGCTCCTGCATCCGGCAATGTCACCGCATCCAACAACGATGGCTTGAATCTAACGGTAGATGGCATGTTTGGCAGCTTCTTCTTGGTGTATCGCAAAAGATGCTCCTTAGCCTCTTCATAATTCAAGTCCACTTTTGGAACGAAATCTGAAGATCACTTAGTGCTGTGGAATTGGTCGTATTTAGTAAAATTTCCAACCACCTTTCTCCCAAAGATCGTAGTTGTCTTTCTGTTTAAACAGCACAGGCTCGACTCGTTTCACTGGTTGCCTAAGTTTCGGTTGTTTTTTCGAAGGAAACCTCGGTGGTGGTAGAGGTAGTTGTTTGTGTTCGCTGAAAAAAGCCGTTATAACTGAATAAATTGAAGCTGAAGATGAAAACAACAATTGTTATTTACTTGGGCAGACGAAAGTCAATAGTAAAATAGGATCCATAAGGGTTTTCGTGGTCACTCTCATAAGAAAAAAAACAAACTCCAAGATAACGAATAAAATGTATCAAACAGTTCAACCAACGACTTCGAGCTTCCAACCGAATTACAGGAGTTAAAGTTTAGACGAAGGGTACAATTTGAATCTTTCAAGTAGAAGAAAAAACAATGAATACGTTACCTAATACTGCGAGAGATTTTGTCTAAAGCAGCTCTCTGTCGTTTGGTATAACGTGATAAGTCATGCGACAGTGTGCAGCCGATCGTGTAAAGCTCCTGGCTAAGTCCATCCGCGACTCCTCCAGAACCATTGTCATCTGAACACGCTGCACATTGACTTAAGGGAATAACGCATAAACAGCGACTGCATTTGTAAGTACGATGACCCCATCTTCAAATCCTTCAGGAAGAAGTCGGTTTTCCGACCATTAGAATATTCCAGGTGTTCAGAACCTTAAAGAGGTGCAGAAAATACCTACTTCTACTGCATTAAGTGCACAAGTGTTTTTTATACAAGATGCTTTCAAATTTGAAAATATTTAGAATTAAAACCTTCGACGAACTGAAAACGGTATTCAAGTTTTTAAAACCCCCTAAGGGAGAGTGGCAGCTACAAACATAAACGATACTTTGCGAACTCCAACGGATCTACTGGACGAAATCTCTCAGGTTTACTTGCCTTCGGGTTCGAATTGTGAGTCTCGAAGCAACACAGTGGGGAAGAATACATGTCATGGGCTCTAGAAAATCAGAATTTCATCGTGACTATCTAAAGAGATGCGTGTAGCGCAGTGGTCGGATGCGACCTGCAAAACACGTGGGTCGATCTCCACGCCCATGGCTCACCAAGCTTTCCATCTTTCTGGGGTTGGCAAATTGGCACCAGACTTGACAGGGAGGATAGCAGCACTGGATCGATGCATCGGTAGGCTACCGTGAGTCATTGTAAATGCCAAACATGCATCCAAAAACTTCCAACGATGCTTAATGAAGTCAAATGCATGGCAAATCCCTCACAAATCGATCAATGCCGAGAGCTCTATATTATTTTACTAGAAGCTAAAATAAGACAGTTCAAAGTTGAAAGCGGCCAATATTTTTGCATGGGACGGCTCCCACAGAGGTCACGTCATCGCGTGTTTATGAATAGTATGAAAAGAAATGTCTCACGTATTATCTGCTCGAAGTTAGAAACATCGACTCCTTTTCGCCAGTACTTTTTCTTGTGCCTGGATGCTCGACAAGCACGTTTTCTGGTCTTTGTAGGCTGTTCGGAAACCATCACCTAAACAGAAATCCGTGTATCTCGAATGGAGTGCCAACAACAGGCAATGAAATCGGACGGGTAGAAGAGCCCAATTTTGAAAACTGAAAGAGCAGCTTGGAGGCAATAAGCGACACAAAGCAACCTGAAGCCACAGTGATAAATGAGACCTTGCCATGATGTGAAAAGCAACCAGTGTCGACGAACATGTTTGCCCAACCGCAATTACGGACATCATACCGAAGAATTTCCGGTGGAACGTCTGTGTCCTTCGTTCTTATGTATTGGAAATGATGTAGTCTGTATTCTGATGACTTTTCGGCAACTAGTGCGCTTTACTAACACCGCATTCCAATGGTTTGCCGCCTCATTGTGGCTGCGAGGTGTTCCTGGGTATCGGGCTGTTATGTACAGCGAAAGAATCATCCCTCCTGCAGGGCCTCCACAGCTGAGGAGTCCGCCGTTTCCATCAGGAAGCCCAGTTAAGAGTGTATCAAACTAGTCGCATGGTGGCAAATCTTCCTCTGATTCACAAGGGCTTCGACTGCCTGTGGTGATGACGATCTGTGGCACAGTTTGGCAAGGCTGTTCTCGAGACTCCAGAGAACCACAATGGCTAAACCAGCAAATCTCCGGAGACGGAAATTATGCTAGGGCCCGCACAACCAGTAAAGACGTGCCATCCGGGTATCCAAGTAAGAAAGTAAGTGCGCTTTACAAAGTGTTGAGGTGACGAGGACGCTAACTAATCTTGACTGAACGTTCTGATTTTGGGGAAAGTTCGTCTCTTCGGTATGCTTGTGAGCAATTTGTTCATCTTGCCATATAAGGTCAAACTACTCTTTCGATATTTAAAATCAAATCAGAGGGTGTAAAACTATGCATTTTCGGTGGGTATTAACGCTGCCGTTTTCTAATTTTCAATTACGCTTTGAGAGGAAACATTTCGGAGTGAACCTATATCAGTGTTTTTTTGGCCATCGGATGTTTTGCCGAACAGAGGCTTTTCTGCTGCCCTTTGTGTATTCGTTTGACTGTTGCTAATTAAAGGGGTGCATATGGGAAGGCACACCTGAGAATTAGAAGACGGTTCTGTAGGTGTGAGTTGATTTAAACGCACAGTGTGTGTAGCGAGAAATTAGGCGACGGACGCAAACTGCAAAATGCTTTTGTTTCAGCGTTCATCTTAAATACCGTATTTCAACGCAAGTTTCGCTCTACCCTTTTATATCTTTGTTCTTGTTAATTTATGATCAATTAGGGATGCTTTAATAAAAATGAAGAGGAGGCCAACTCAAGTAGCTTTTGCAAGAATCAAAAACTTGGACGTAAGCGGCAGAAATCGTAGGTTGTATTTGGCTAGCGAACCCTTAATGATCATATGGTAGAACGTTGGTTCGAAAGAAATGGAGATAGGCCTCTTGGAGATTGAGGGTTATTGCTCTTACAACCATTGACCAAGACCATCTAAAAGGTTGAGACAAGTGAAGACAGGGAGTATTACACTAGAACCGCTGTGCAGAAAAACTTAAGCGTTGCTTTTCAGGCATACGAAATTCTTTCCTGGGAACTGTAATGGCAGTCACCTTACTGACTGATACAGACGTGTTTACGAATGGTTAGAAGTATAAATAGAAAGAGGTAAAGGGTGTCTTATTTTTTTAACATACTCTACCTGTGAGGAAATGATGCGGAAGATCGAACAGTCGTTGACATTCCTTTGGCCGTTAATGTCAGTCTCCTACGTGCCCACTGGTTTGCTCCGATTCTTTAAGAGTTTAGCGGTGCAATAAACCGATCATTTACAGTTTCCAATCAGTAGTCCCACTCGATCGCTTGCACTCTGACGCTTCACTCATAAAGCATGAATGTTTCCATGGATTGCTGCCACGAGAAGACACTGTATCTCTGCTGACGAAAGACGGCGATTTTCTCTTACGCTTGAGCGAGGTCTGTGTAATAGATGGCAAGTTGTTTTGCAACGGAATGTTCGAGCAAACAGCCTAGAAATAGTGAGAATTCCATATGTAACTGAAAGAATATCTGGCTATGTCTTTGAGCCGATGTGCAGTATAATGGTCTTTCAGATCCTATTTTTGGTCTTTCTCGAGTTTTCTTAGATGTGTAAAAGCTTTCTAAAATGGTACTAAGCATATTCGAGCTCAGAATTCATACTAGTGTTCAGGCAGATACGATGGGCGCAAGATTAGAAACGATACTGTCCGTACTACACGATCCAAAATCCTGCGTTACTGTTGGTGACGATCCAGAGACAAGAGCACCTTATGTATTATGTAGTAACCTTATCAGTTTTAGGGAAATAACATTTAATTATCAGTAGTTCCAGATTTTCCGCGTAATTATCCAGTTCTCGAGAAAAAAGTAATTCGTAGTGTCGCCTATTCTGGGTTCAATTCCATTCTCGATGTCATATCACATTACCTGAAGCACATCATGGTTTTCAAATCGGTGAGAGATTGAGAATTCTTTAAAGCCTCGCACCTATCCTGTTGTATAATCCTCCAACATAAAAAACAGCTCATAACAAATCGCAATATCAATTTCGAAAATGGAAGCGTACGCAGAGTGGAAAGATAGCTCTGATTGGGGTCTGGTTTGCTGAAAGATGGATGTGATCTTTGATCATCCAGTGTACAAACGTTTTAAGCCTAAAAGTTTTTTTTTAGGAGATTGCTGTAGCAGCATTCTACATATAGGAGTAGTGGGAATTGCTTGACTTTCCGTTGGGGTCGACTCATTTCATCACCGTTCTTATCATAACATCTTTCCATGTCCGCCTACAAACATTTTACAGCAAAAAATACAACTGAGAAGGCCAGTTGGGTTGGCTTCATGGGAATTTCACGCTGAAAACATAGAACTTAAAGAGGTAATCTGTGTGCTTGTTGTTGGAGAGGTCCGTAAGGGAAAAGTGTATAGCAAAGATGATGCACCATTGACTGTTGTTGTTAAGACGGTAAGTTGGCAGCTAGTGTTAAAAGGAATTTTCAGACTAGTAGTTTTATATCTAGGTGGCCGTTCGTTCACACAGTGCTAAAGAAAAAATAGAATCGTTGATCCAGGAAACGCGGCTACTGAGAGACCTCTGGCATCTTTGCAAACACCTTGGAGTCTGTCTTATCTCCCAGCCGAACTGCTTCATTTTCGAATATGTCCCACGTTCGTTGGCGATCCCTGCAATTTTCTAACAATATAGATCACCGTTATAAGACCCTATACAACTTAAACATGTCGTTTTATCTTTCAGCAATGGCGAGCTTGTTACACAGCATACGTTTACTTCTGTACAAAACACATACAACACAACAGTAGCTGACGTGCCGGCAGAATCGCCATCTTTAGAACCTGTAAGGGTATGCCGTATACAGAAAGATGAAAATCTATGTGGTAATCATATGATCATAACATCAGCTACTGTTGTGCTGATTTCCTACTTAAGTAAACATGTGCTGTATAATAACCTCGCAATCGCTTAAAAAGAAAGCGTCATATTCATGCTGAGTCCAATTGAAAGTCGGTCCTGGGAACTCTGAAAAACACCTGGTCTTTGTAACCAGTAGTGAAGGTTGTGGTAAACGAGCACTGCCATCGATCTATAGTTGACTTTTAATAACTCGAAAGACCGACTTTCTATAAACCTCGGCATGGATAGTTGATATGTTTATTTATGTATGTGATCTTATAATCACATAAATAAATATATAGTTGACTTTATGTGATTTTTTCCAAGGTATGATTTGACGCTCAAGCGGTGGGACAAAAGAAGAATAGCTTACAAGTGCTTTTGGTAAAATTGTTTTCTGCTCACATTGTTATTGTATACCATAAGCTCATTTCCCATTAGATATTTGTTATGGAGGGCTTTTACAACATTTCGTTTACAATAATTTCAGGCTGGTTGAGATAGCACAATGTAGGAAAAAAGTCGGTCTTTTGAGTTATTGAGATCCCACAGTCGAAACAACAAAATTGTGTCGCCTTACTTCCTAAGCACGAATCTGAAAACATTTCTGTGAGGGCACCTCCAGATACCACTAAAGCGTGAGGGAAGCAAGCACTTCTGAATGGGCAGAGTGCAAAATGCTTGGAAAAGCCCATCTTGGAGATCGGATGTTGATGACGAAGAATGTCGTTGTCGCCCATAAGCAGTGGATGACCATCCCAGGATAAAGCTGACCTTATTGCTCACAGATGAATAACTCGAGGTTAACAATTCGTTAATCGAACACCATTTCAAGAGGAAATTGGAAAGGAGAAGACGTGAAGACCCTTCTGCGCTTCTTTTGAGTGAAAAAAATGACCTACTTCTCGACTGTACTGTGACAAGCGTGTGATGAACTGTGAATCCTACACAAACAGCTAACAAATTCAGCGTAGTATTTTACCCGAAAGCTCCAAAACCCGAGTTTAAACAAAGAGAGAGTAGTGGTGTCTACTTCATTAAAGGCAGATGATGTTAACCATTAGAAGTTCTTGAACTATTGCGAAATAGTCACAACAGAGAAGTACGGCCGCGAAATCAATGAAATGTTTAAGAATTAGCAACATATTTATGCAGGATTGGTCAACAGGAAATGTCCAACCCTTTTGCCAAAAAACTCTTCGCGACGCATTCCACTGCTAAAGCTTCAAAGGTTAGACAAATCGGACTGCTATAAAACTACCTCATTCGAAGCACCTATAGGATCTCAAGCTTACCCGCTACCAATTTTGACACATCTTAAAAAATTCCTGTAGAGAAAGTGCTCAGGTACCAAAGTGCTAGTAAGGAATGCGCTCTAGGACTCCGCTGCTTCTCAAACTTAAGAATGCCATTCTCTCAAATATATCCTTCTACTTCTGTTCAGCAAGCACGAGGTGCTATTTTATTTCTTTATTTACGCACAAGCTGACGTTTCGGCGGATTTCGCCTTCCTCAGAGCCGCTTTCTATGAGTCTTCCACTGAGAATGTCGCGTGAAGACCGACCGCACCAAATTCACATGGAAGCGTAATGCATCTCTCAAATATGTTTTTTCTTCCTTCTTTAGGAAGTGGTTATTCTTTAGAGTTCCAACTCCGATAGGAAAAGACTCTGTCGAGTCCTTATGTGCTTGTCGCAAGTAGCTACCCGACATAACGCATAGCCTGTTTGCCCAGTCATTCACCTACTGTCGCATTCCTGAACCGTCATGTCTTAGATGTGATGGAGGAAGTACGGGGATGGGCCACGACGCACTTGTTTGTATTCTTTCTTTGATGAGCTTACACGAGGTTGATAATGATGTTTATTTTCGGAGATGGCACTTGTTTGTTTCGAATGGCCCCAGGTCGCCGTGATTGGGCATCGTTGGAAATTCAGCGATCGCTGTTTACAAAATGCGTCTCATCCAGATCATACTCGTTTGGTATTTGTGAGGAAGCTTTATAGTTATGCTCTTTTATTGCCGCAAGTGAATTCCGTGCGGTTCCGTTCTAGAACTTCGAGATGAAATTCGAATTATTGGACACTCCAGTGAAATCTCTGTTGTTTCTTTTTCTCTACGGAAACCACTAATTTTTACAGATGGACCTCTCAATGTTTATTTAAATCGACGCAAAGGGAAGACAAAACAAAATGAATACTTGTTGATGGTGTCGAATATTGCTTGTGGACTTGAATATCTGCATGAAAACTCAATCCTAACCGAGATCTTGCTGCCAAGAACTGCCTCTAAAACAAACAATTTGTAAGTGTCGCCATAAGCTAGAATTACCAGTAATATTACTACTACTATTGCTATTTATTACTTACTATTTGTTGACAAAAAGGGTGGTTGGAGGCGTGCCACTGCGACACACACGTGGAATCAATCCCCGCGCCCATGGCCCACTAAGCTCTCCATTCCTCCGGGGTCGGCAAGCTGGTACCAGACTTGTCTGGGAGGATAGCAGCACTGGCTCGATGAATCGGTAGGCTACCGTGAGTACTTAATGAAGTCAATGCATGGTGCATCCCTAAAGAAATTGATCAACGCCGAGAGCTTTGTCCTTTATCCTTTGTTTGTTGACATGAACCTGAAGTAGCTGTAGCGCAGTGGTTAGAGTTAGAGGTGTCCATGCTACACACACAGAATCGGTCTTAGGTTCGATTTCGCCCACGTTCACCAAATCTTTCATCCCACCGAGGTGGGCATTTTGGTGCAAGACTTGTGTGGCTTTATAGTAGGACTGACTTGGTTATCGGTAGGCCACCGCAAGTTATTGTGTAGGCCAGATATACACTCAAGCGCTTTTATGATGAATGATGTAGTCGTATGCATAGCACATCTCTTACGAAGGCATTAGACCTTAACTTCTATCTCGTTAATGTTATCTATTGTATTTATTTTTTATCGGTGTATCATCATTTGTTGTGTTCATGTTCATTTTCCCATTATTTTTAAAATTTCCTTATTGGTTACCCGAAATCACACATTGCACTCATCCCAGCACTTCTTCCATTCAGGTGAAACTAAGCGGCTTCTCGATGTCGAAGAAGGACACAATGAAAACGACAAGAAGATTGGCAATCAGGTGGTTGCCACCAGAGACAATCGAGCTTTCCAGTACACGCAAAAATCGGATGTCTACGGATACGGTGTATGCATTTTATCATTGCATTATTAATGGCGAGATTAATAGACGTTTACTACCACCTGCTCCATTCACCGTCGCAACGGACACAAGTGAAGTGTACATAGATATTTTCAGATCAGCTGTACTTCCACTAATCGTCGAGTAACTGAAAAAACGCACCAGTAAGGTCTCCATTTCTTCTTTTTACGTTTAAAAGTAACCTAAAGGATTCTGCTTGACCTAGGAGGTTGCAAAGAATCAAAACTTTCTTATAGATCTCTATTTGATAGAGAAATTCTCTATAGCAGTTCTCAGCACTTCTCATATTCGCTTCGTTTCCTCGCATCCATTATCCACGAAGATCTTCCAACTTTTACTTGTGGCTTTGGTTTCTGCTTGAGGATTTTCATTTCACCTTAAAGTCGTAGAATGCTAGTCGAGTCAGTGGTATCAGATGACAAATCAAGGATGACGCGTTTGTTATGGTCTAGGAATTGTGAGAAGTTTCCATTTCTAGATTATCATCTACGAAATTTTTGCTAGAAAGGAGCCCTATGATGGTCTCATTAACGATGAAGCGAAATCATTTGTAAGCAATGACAGCTTGAGGTCGTTTTGTGCACTGCAACTATGCTTTCTTTTTCAGATATTGGAAGGTGACGTAAATGATTTTCCCGGAACAACACCAAAAGTGTTGGCAGAGATGGTTAGGAAGTGCGAGATTGAACTGCAGACCTTCTGTTTAAGAGACAGACGCTCTGCCACTGGTCAATAGAGGCCTCATTGACGTTTTCACCAAAATTGGTTGAGAATGCATATTCTTTCACGTTGACCGTCTTTAAAAAGATTTCTCAAATTAGATCCCTTGACCATTTTGGAAGCTCTTTACGTTAAAGAGATGCCTCTTTGCGGGATTGAACCGCAGACCTTCAATTTACGAGACAGTCTCTCTGCCACGAGTTATAGAGGCCTGGACCCCCCGAAAGGCAAGTGGTAAAACATATTGGTTCACTATCTCTCCTCTCACCTCTCACACACTAAAAGGTGATTATAAGAAATGTGTTTCCAACGGCCACCAGTTTGTGCACAGGTAGAGAGCAGAAGGAAGAATCCTTGAAATTGGCCCGGCAAATAGCCATTTCGAATGGTTACGAAACTTCTCGGCATAGACATAGAGGAAAATGCACGCCCCGACACAGTAGTTCTAGCGAAAACAAGGCTCTGTTCATCCTGTCCTTTATTTCGAACGAAATAAATGCAGTTATAAAACGTTGCTTGAAAGAGCGGGTCTGGAGAGATCAGTAAGAGTGATAGAAAGACCACTGAACACTTTAAGACGCCAGTTACTTCGTAACCACCTATACGACCGCCTGTGTGCAACGAAAAACTGGACAATATGCTCCGCCGGTAGAGAGAGTGATTGCGTAAGTTCGGGTACGGTGTACCTAATCTTTTGCAAAGCGTATGGGAACGAATACATTGGAGAAACGGGTAGACCACTCTGCGTGCGCCTAAAAAAACACCTAGACGGTAAATCTAAATTGAAACCAAACACTCCACTGGATGTGCATAAAGAATAAAGGATAAAGCTCTCGGCGTTGATCAATCTCTGAGGGATGCGCCATGGATTCGACTTCATTAAGTATCGTTGGAGGTGAATGTATCGAGCCAGCGCTGCTATCCTCCCAGACAAGTCTGGTACTTCACTGGATGCGCATAGGACACAAAAACACAACGGAGAAGATTTCGAAGTAGAAGTCACTATCCTCGCACAGAAATCCAAGACATAAGCGTGTAGAACTCTTGAAACGTTTTGGATTAATTCCGAAAATTCAAAAATGAACTGAGAGGAGGAGTGTCTTGTCATCACGCGTGACCTCGCGCCATGCCTCAGGCCGAATCAATGACCTGATCCGGGCAGTCTTCGCCCACGTACTACTCTATGTGGCTGCCCTCCATAAATAAATTCGAATACTTGCAAAGATTAAAGCGGTGGGTGTTTAAAAAAAGACGTTTGTTATGCGAAAGCATATTTGTATGTTAATTGTTGTCTAGTAAGGTTATGAAGGTGTTTGGCTCAATAGATGGCATACAAATTTCACCTTTCTAGGCTCTGAAGAGGACGAAACCGCCAAAGTTAGTTATCGTGTGCTGATAAAATCTATAGTACCAATCTCGTGTTTGCTCATTGAAGGAATACACTGAATTATTTGAACTTGATTAAAATGGCCTGAGTGCAAGAGTTTACATCCACAAGTAGTGTTCGATGTTCTCGAATGTGGGTATGAACAGTGAAGATTAAAAAAACACTTTATGCTGGCTTTTATAAATATGCACATAGATTTTATGACACCAAATCTGCTGCCAGGCAAATGGGAATTGGATGCTTTTAATAAAAGAATATTTTATCGTATTTCTTCGTATTTTTGTTGAGCAAACGCGAGGTGTTACTATTCTTTATTCACGAATAAGCTGACGTTTCGGCGGATTTCGCCTTTCTCAGGGCCTGCCCACTATTCTCCTCCAGAGGCGGTCCTCCAAATACTGAGCACAAAAGTTTTCCTTCGTCTCGCACTTCTTCCACTTGGCGAACATCTGGTTTTGTCGGCTTCGTAGACAGGTGCGTAATATTCGCAATCCGATGTCCAGTACTTGGTGACTGTCCTCTGGTAGTCCACATACGTCGTTTAGTCGCCTTCGTTTGGTGAAGTTCGGAACGACTCGATGTTTTAGACAGCGGCGGAGAAAGTGTATTGACTGTCGAGCTGAGAGGATCTTTTGTGTCATTTTCTCCTATTGTTTCAGTAATTGTCATAGAACCTCCCAACGGTTTCCCGCCTCATCGTGGCTGGGACGTGTTCCTGGGCGTCGACCTGCGATGTACAGCGAGGGATTCATCCCCTGGCAGGGTCTCCCAAACTGAGAAGGAGTCCGGCGTTTTCGTCAGGAAGCCTAGCTAAGAGTGAACCAATCCCAAGATTCACCACCTGGTGCTAAAGTCGCATGGTGGCAAGTGGCAAATCTCCCTCCTATCCACAAGGGCTACGACTGCCTATGCTGGTGAAGACCTGGGACAGACTTTGGCCAGGCTGACCTCGAGATTCCATGGAACCACAGTGGATTAACCAGCAAATCTTTGAAAAATAGGGATTATGCTGGCCCCGCACAACCAGTGAGGGCGCCATTCACGTATAAAGTATCAAGTATTGTCATAGAAAGAATTTATTGTTGATGTCAAGGATTTTAAAACTTTAACGCAAGGTTGTAAAAACAATACTTGCAGGATTTTAATGTTTGTAATTTCGTGTAGGCTGTGTTTAAGAAGGGTGGATTAAAAATGTCATGGTTGCGGATTGCAATAATTACGGTGCTTGTGTTGGTTTTGAAAATCAAGTGTGAGCTAAATGCTTCGGAATATAAAGCTAACGGCGTCATTGAAGGATTACGAAAAAGAACGTTAAGGCTACATAATGTTTTTAAGGAGAGGCTTTGTGAAAACACATCGATGATAGCGCATTGTGTGGAACCCTAGCCCTTCTAAACACTGCGAACACTCGTATGAAGTGCTGAGATATTTGCAAAACTCCGGACCACAGGTGTATGCAGTGGGGACGAACACGCGCTGTTGTCCTTACCGGGGAGCAGCGCACTTCACCACTACACCATCCGGGTCTACGAACACTTACAAGTCTTCCCAGTAATTTGCTGTAACTTCGTGGCGATAAGGCACCCTGGTGTGCAAGCTTTCGTGTTCAAACACAAAAAATATGCTAGTACCCGCCACAGGATTGAAACCAAGCAAACATATTCGTTGATAAAATAGCTTTTTTGTATTGTCGTGTGTATAGCAGAAAATTTAGTGGAAAAGAACTGTATGGCGAAGAAAAACGATGGAAAATAAGTTGAGTTATGCACCACGTATTCCCGCCGGTCCGCACCGGTGAGAACAAGTCGTGTATGACCTATGTCTTCGCCAATGTTTTGAGAAAGATATGCCACTTTTAAAAAATGCAAGGTGAAATCCGACACCAATTTCCGAAAGACCTACCTTTGTACACCACAACAATGCTTGCAACTGTTTAAAGTCATTTGGTGCAGTTAATAGTAAAGTAGCACAATTTTAATAAATTAATGGCAAATAAAGTGTTCAGCTAGAGACGTCCTCCCACACGACAAACCAAGTTTGCCAAATGTATAGATAGGGTTTCATTTGGTTAGAGATAGTGAGAATAGTAATTTTTTTGCATGGCCCGTACTCGCGTCTACTGTGCGGATCCTAGCACTTCTCACATTCGATTCGTTTCATTGCATCCACTGTCCACGAAGACTTTCCGGCTTTTACGCATGACTTCGGCTTTTGCCCGAGGACTTTCATTTCATCTCGAATGTCGTAGAGCGCTGGTCGAGTCGCTTCGTCAGTAATAATCATGAGAAATAGTTCGAAAACGAAGTCGTAAAAATTTTAAGAAGTACAGTTAATTGTAGAAGACTATTGTATTGTGTATACAAAGTTTCTTGTTATCTACAGAAATCAAGTATTGCAGCATTTATTCAAGCGCATATCATTTATAGTATAATGATATGTCAACATATTTAAATTCGTTTCGATTTCTTACAATTAATTTAGAAACATTGTATGATAGAAAACTTAAAGGAGGCGACGAGCGTGCCATGTAGATTTCACTCGGAAGGATCAATGGAAATTCTGACGTTGAATCTAACAATACACTTGCTGGCTAATTATTTGAGCATGTGAAATCATCGATGCCATCGTATCAGACAAATAGGAAAGACAAACAAGTGAAACCAATTCGTTTCAAAAGTGAAGTCCTTATTACTCTCTGGGCGCGGGGAGCTCAACAAGATTAGAGAAGCACTCAGGTCGAGAACTAGTCACAAGCAACATAAGAAGGTCAACCGTAACCCTTTTGACAAGTTTTAATCCAAATGAAAAGTAGAGGAGAAAAATGCAACAGGTTAAGCACATTATTCACTCCATTGTGGAATTAAACCTTTACGTCTATTAGGCAAAAATTTAGAGCCTCACTAAATAATAAACAAATACATCCGGCACAGCCAGTCTAACTGGTTAGCTAAACTGCTGTAGTGGATTCCCACAAAGTCTTCCAGGATTCTCAACTGGGTCTTCAAAAAATTCAATTGGGGAAACATTAAAGCGTTATTGTTCCCAAAAAGGAAATACTAGTTATCCAATTCCATGCAGTGACCACATGTCTGAGGACAGTAGGTCTTCATGACGAAGAAGAACGACGCTCGTTGGCAGTACTGTGTAAAGTGCAGACAGTCGGTGAAATGGTCCTGGCATGCTGCAATGTGCAATACGCTTAACGAAGAGGTAGAAAGATGGAGAATGTATACAAGATTATAAAGATCCTGAGAGCAACAAGTGGCTTTCTTATCTCTCAGGCTAGGAGAATACGTACCGTCCTGGGCAAGTTTAACTGTCGACATGGACTACCGTATATTTAATGGACTTTCTTCACCTAGCAATTAACATCGGAAAGGTGATACAGACGACTTTTCTTTTAATATTGGTGCCACTGACACGTCTTGTAGTAATTCCCATAACCGACTTCCTGTTAGCCTCGAGATTGTTCAAACAATTCTCTAAGTTCCTGTTGAGCAAACACGAGGTGTTAGCTTCTGGCGAAACTCACGTTTCGGTACTATCGCCTTCTTCGGAACCTTGAAGGGTAAAATGCTAACTCGGCGTGTCAATGTACTCTTCCAGGCTCTGAAAAAGACGATACTGCCGAAAGGTCAGCTTTTCTGAAACGAAGATTTAGTTAACAACTCATATTTCTTCAACAAGTATATAGAATATTATTGGTATTACTTTTTACTTCATTCTGGCTATGTATGTTCCTCCACTTCGAAATACATCCCTCTCCCGCTCTCGTCTTTCAAACTGAGAAGTGCGACGTTCACATCCAATGCGGTTACAAAAATTCTGGGAGTATAAGGTGCTATGGAGAAATTCTTAACTGGACTAATGGCATAATCCATGATAATTACTAAGTAAATATTTTTATGCAGGTATATAGGAAGACCTGAATTGTTCCAATCCATGCGTTATAAATTTGAAGGTTGTAACAGCAAACATTGAGGTACAATAAAGAAGTGAAGAAAAAAGAGATGTGAACTGACATTCTTCAACTATGTCCACCAACTCGGTAGTCGTCGTAGACCATGTTCGCTGCTGGTTGCCATGGCTGATCGAAGGACATTGATAGAGTTTGTTGATCTGAAGAAACTCCACAGCTAATTTGCTTCTCATTTCTCTACTTATAAAAGAATTTTTCGAAAGAATGTTGACTGTTTTCTCCACTACTAATGAATTTCTGAATATGTTGTGCTCTAAAGGAAATCTATTATTTCTTTTGTTTGAGACGAAATGCATTTGTTTAAAGATATTAATAAGGTATTAAAGTAGAAGCATTTATATAAAAACTATCACATGTTCACCACTGTCCGCAGTCCTTATCCCTTCCGCTGTACTGTTCGTAGTTAAATAAAGTGTTGACCATCGCTTCAGTGTTGAAGCTTTCGCTCTCGTGCTCAGGGATTACAATTACTACACCCTGCTGAATTCTGCCATGTAAGAGTATTGTAGCCTCTTTACTCGATAACCGGTAAACAGCAAGCAGAAACAGAATGCTGTTGACTCCAAGGACAAAACTGATGAATATGTCTATCTGTCTATGTGTCTACGTCTATGTGCAAAGCACGGTTGCATAATATGCTTTAACGGTGAAATGATAAAAGGATAAAGCTCTTGGTGCCGATCAATCCCTAAGGGATGCACCATGCATTCGACTTCTTTAAGCATCGTTTGAAGGTGACTGAATGAATATTTGGCCTTTATAACAACTCGCGGTGGCCTACCGATGTATCGAGCCAGTGCTGCTAACCTCCCAGAGAACTCTGGTACCAATTTTCCTGCTGCGGAGTGATAGAAGACTTGGTGGGCCATAGACACGGAGATCGATTCCATGTGTGTTGCAGAGCGCCTTCGACCACTGCGCCACGGGCGCTCTTAGGCACTTCTTATAACTTTTAGCATTGAGGCACATTAAGCGCCAAGATTAAAGGACTTTCGGTCTTCTTTAAGAATAACGCTGGATGCTCGTGGAGTAGATTCTAGAGTCTTAGGATAACTGCGCTACATAGATCTGAACCGAACTGCAGGGAGTAGGTCGGTCCCAGACAAGTCTGATACTAAGCTCCCGAGCCCGAGGGAGTGGGAAACTTGGTGAGGTCGGGGTAGAGTCGTATCAGTGCCTTGTGTATGCTGGAAGACAACACCATCGCGGCACTACCCTAATCCGAAGTTCCATAAACAAACAAAAGTAACCTTCACAATATCAAGTTCTGATAGATCAGTTGAGCTTCCGATGATTTTGGTGAATCCTTCCTCCACCGTTTCGATCGTATGTCTTCCATTACGTGAGAATGCCGTTGAATCGTAGTGCATAATAGAGCGATAATCATATTTCTCTCCTTGGGTGTCCTAAATTATACTTTGGTGAGATATCAAGTAACTTGCATTTATCTCTTACGCAAAAAGTAATTTACGACAGAAAGTGGTAAAAATAGTAGAATGGAAGTCGAAAGCTTCAACTAGCGCGCCCAGTTATAAGAGGAATGGAGGTATTTGTGAAGGAACGAAAGGGAAATGTACTGTGACAATGAGAGAGTACAATGTCGTGAAAGTTTGACACCCGGGTGTATGTACACAAAATATAGATTCAGAAATACAACTACAAGGATGCTGAGGTGTTAGCAAGACTCCGAACCTCAGGTTCTCTTCAAACCTTTGGTTATCCTTTCCAAACGCTCATTTGTCACCCACTGCACCAACCTAACATCTCGCTTTATCTTTCTCTCTGCCAGTGTTCTACTCTAACGATGGTATCAGCAATCATCCGTCACCGAAAACTATCTGGGGAGCACAAACGAGCATTGTAGCCAGTTTAGCTGAAGCTATACAATGTTTTAACTTTCATTTACTGCCTACTCCTTTTTGTTGCGGTGTATTTTTGAAACGCAGCCACAAGGATGCAGTGGTGAGATTCGAAGCGCTCCTTAATATCCTTTTTGCTGTATGTCACATATTGTTCTGCCACGAAAAAAGATTGGGCAGCAAGTAAAAGTTAAAAGAATTGCAAAATAATGTGTAATTTGAGAGTTCTTTAAACACCTGGGTTAATGTTGCACGCGATAGGTAGTAATGGAAAGTTTACTGGTGCCCACTCGAGTCATACGACGATGAATGGGACGACAGGTGATATAGGTTACAGGTGAACCTGCCATGAAAAAACAATAGGCAGTGAATAAAATTTCGACACCGCATTTTCGATTGCAGCTTCAGCTTAACTGGACTGAATGCCGATCTCTGCTTTCCACATCATTCTCTTTGACGGATGACGGATGATTGCTTATAGTACCGTTAGGGTAAAAAACTGGCTGAAAGAAAGGCATAGCAAAGGTCTCAGTAGACACGTGAGTCGCTAGAAAGGAGAATCACAGTTTTGAATCTGCCCTGGAAGCTGCGTTTTGCAAATTTATCAGCATCATTGTGAATGCAACAACAGCTGCATAAGTGGCTTGATGAGTGGGATTCAGAAATCAGTATACCTGCAAAAATGCGGACACTTTGTCAAACTGGGACTCCATTCCGGGTAAAATGTTTTCCCAGCGAATGCGAATATGCTCGTCACGATCTGAATTTTAGCTAGGAGTTACATTTTTATAAATTTTACTTACTATCAAAAATATCACATTGAAATAAATATTACAAATGAATTCATCTGTACTTGTTAGCGAGAAGCTTTCGTGAAATAAAGTACATACGAATTTTTAGACCTTAATTCGCATTTAAAGGCCAGGGTTTATCATGAAATTGTAGAGCCTAATGTAACTGACGTACGAAATTTTCTGCCTTGTTGGCAATATATACGACAGCACTAGTTATTAAGAAAACAGCAAAAGCAAAGCCGATTTTAGTCGACATCGCCTTTTCACCTACATCATCCACAACCACGCTATAACTCGACTCAACTCCATTTCTCCGTGTTACGTGCAGCGCTTACTGCTAATTGGTTCTCCCTCATCAAGGTACACAACGAAGTGCACACTACCTTTTGGTGTAACGCCTTTTAAGGCTGTTTTTGGCAACGCGGTCACAAATGGCACAACGATGGCACAACGACTCCTTTCGCAACATGCGTCTGCATCGCTAAGCTTCCAATGTGGAGCTCGTTGTTCACTGTTGTAGTGTACGAAAGTCTTTCAGTTGTTCATCAAACTTCAATATCGGGGATTAGTCGATAAGTTCGGCCACAAGTCATTAAACAGCAAAAGAAGTCGGAATACGGAATTGAAATAACGACTAATACTGGAAAACACCAAGTTGAGGTACCCCAGTTCTCCAATTTTTTCAATAATGAATCCTTAAGTCTTCCAACAATGACTTCACGCATGTACAGTTAGCTCATGAATTTTTGGAGGACTAATTTTCGACCTCAATCGGTTTCTTAGAACTGAGCTGAAGGAATGCAGAATTTATATTAAATGAATAATGAAATGGCCGTAGACAAAATGAAATATCTAAAAAACCTCTACCTTAGGAATTAATCAATTCCACCAGCAAGTTTCTTAAGAGTTATTCTTTTGGTTCACAAGTAAAACACTAAATACTGAAATGGTAACGAAATTTGAACACAATTTGCGATTTCATAACAACCAACCCCCACAAAAGGGGTAGCGGAAAAGATTTTATGAGCTCTGTGTGAGCATGAGACTTCAGAAAACGGAAAAGACCCTTGAAAAAGTGGACTAGCATACAGAACCGAGCTACGTAGAAAAATTTTGACAAAGTTGATATGGATTAAAGCATTTTTCGCCAAATTTTTTTTCCAAATGTACAAGCAGCGTAGCACAAATTGTTTCAAACCGATGCGGCCATAAAAACTATAAAGTATGAGAGTATTTGGTAGGCGCACGTAGAGTAACACCAATGTACAAATCCTCTCTAGCAACGATAAATCTCTTTATTGAGATAGATTTTGCTAAGAATGTTTTGAAATACAAATAGTGTGTTTTAAGAGAGCAGACAAATTAAAGGAGTAATAAATGAACGGCCTAACCGTCTCTGCTGTGCTCATGCCAGAATCCAAGCGAGTGCATGAGTTCGTGGACGATGATCTCATGATGGAGGCAACCACGACCCAACGAGATCTCCTGCTTACCACCTGTTCGCCCCACTTGTGAGTAGCAGCTGAAATGAAGAAAAGCGCGATTGGAATCAAACCAACTTCCAGATTCTTACATTCAATACATTTACAATTTCGTACACCTCAGCGGCTGAACCGGTTAAAAAGGCTGCCATACAATATAGGACGAAAAAAAACGAAAGGGAAAGAAAGACCAAGGAAGAGATGTATGAGGAAATGAAGGGAATGGGAAAATTTCGCTTCTACATTAGTACTTTCTTGTTTTCGTTATTCCATCACAAAGAGAGATTACTCTAAAGATTTTGAAGTGGCAAAATACCTTTCTGTTGTCAAAAGACCACTAAAAACTGTTTAAAAAACGTGAGCAAATCGGGAACAAAAGCCTAAATCTGACCCTATGTAGATGTCGTACAATACTGTAACATACCCGTATCCTTTGACGATATTCAAAAAGTCCACTTCGTCCTTGCGAGGCTGAAAACGTATACAGGTTTTCTTTGTGTAGCTGGCAAATGCTGTTTCAATCGCTTTCACCTCATGGAGAGCTGAAATCGGCGTAATCATGGACAGATAAGCTCATACCGGAATAGAAAACAAAGAACTCCCACGAACGACTTTCTATTAACCTCGGCATTGATCCAGTAATTTTTCGTATTTTTGTTGAGCAAACGCGAGGTGTTATTATTCTTTATTCACGAATAAGGTGACGAGTGGAGACGAATACATTGGCGAAACGGGCAGACCCCTCTGTGTGCGCATAAAGGAACACCTAGCCGGCAAACATAGGCCAAATACACCGCTAGGCACGCATAGGACCCAGAGACATAACGGGAAGGACTTTGAAGTATGTGTCACGATCCTCGCACACGAATCAAGAACACAAGCTCTCAAAACTCTCAAGGCATTCTGGATTAATTCCAGAAATCCGAAAATGAACCGCAGGGAAGAATGCCTCATTATCACGCGTGATATTGGACAGTATATAAACCTGTTATTCTGATGGAAGGAGCACATTACGCTTCCATGTGATTTCTGTGCGGTTGGTCTCTACGTGACATACTTAGTGGAAACCTCATTGAAAGCGGTGAGTGTGCAGAGCTGTGTTCAATGTGATTGAAATCTTGGTTTAGATTTCCTTTCTTTGGTTATGGAGGTGTCTGGCCGAATATGTTGCGGTCAACTTGACCTTTCCAGGCTTTGAGGAAGGTGAAATCCGCCGAAACGTCAGCTTATTAGTGAATAAAGAATAATAACACCTCGCGTTTGCTCAACAAAAATACGAAGAAGACAAAGAATTAGAGGTTAACTGTGCTGATTTGCCATTTTTACTGACACAAGACCGAGTGGGTGTTTTTAATGTGGATGCACTGAGTTTACTTCCTAGTAAGTTTCATGCACTAGAAGGTGGTTAGATAAATTCGGCAAGTACAGCTGCATTCTGTTTGAAAGTGTCATCCCATCGATCAATTGCCTGTAAGTTCACTATTTGTAGCAGTAATATTATTCGTTGTTTTGCCATATGCATTAATTATTAAGACATGAGCTAGAAGTGAATCCAAAAAAAGCAAAGAATTCCTTATCACTGTCATTTAGTGTAAAGTGGTACGTACAGTCTCTGTGTGGATTTGTGCCGAGCTTCACTACGATGTTATGATAACCATTAAGGAAGGGACACTATGAACAGCCTTATATCTCAGAAATACGAAGATGAACTGTTAAGATATTCGTGTTGTGACTCCAGAAAAACCTACTGGATATTTCTGGAAGTCTAGGAGCGCAAATTATGGCAGTACTCATGCCAATTCGATTCGCTTGATAGTCGGCAGAAAAAACGACTGATAGAGGTGATTTTTCCTCTTCTTAAAAACTGTGGTTCTCTCAGTCATATTTCTGTATGAGGCAAAGATTATTCTTGACCTTCCCAGAAAGAGTTATTTCGCTTACACCGGGGTTTTACACCATTTTTTTGAAATTTGACCATACTCTTCATTCAAGAGGGAGCGATGTGACCTATCTACTTTTTATGACCCGATTTCACATATTGTGCTCATACCAGGGCTTCGCTCATCGGTTCGTTGCCTCGTATCCATTACCAACGGAAGGATTTGTATATGAGTTCGGTTACCGCCTAAGGATTTCGTCTTCCTCAAGTATTTCATTGAATCCCGGTGGATATGACAAGTTTTGAATGAAGGGATAGCTTGGTCAGGTGCTCACCACACGGAATCGCCAAATTTTGTAAAAAGAAGTGAGCTCTTACCAAACGATTTCGGCACCTATTTTCCGATTCCTTAGAGGTGAGAGACTCGGATACTAATAGAAAGTTTCAATGTGCTACCAAAGTGCGAGTCTAGGTTTCAACGAGAGGCAAGAAGTAGACCTGACAAGAAACGACGACTACTTGCCGGTCAGGCTAGTTGGCTCAGCAAGCTAAGTAACGCATCACTTTTGTATAAAACTCTATCTGATAAAATGCACAATGGAATATGTTGGGATTTGCAAAAGCGGAAAAATTTCGTCTAATATTGTCCGGAAATATTAGATAGGATGAGGGTACCTGAAAAAAAACACTTCAAAGTGATCTAAGAAATCGACCACTAATTTCTACATTTGAACAAATTACTCACATGGGAAGTGAGGCTAAAGAGAAGCAGAAAGGATTAGCGACAGAAAAAATCTTAGCGTAAAAGCGAAAACTGGAGCTTCGTGCGCCTTCTCATTTTCATTGCCGGATCCACAACGTTTTCAGAGTTCGAGTGGACCATGGGAAATACCGGTTGCAGAAACCCACGTACAGAACGCGGTGTCCATTTCATAGGGCACGGTAGCATCTTTCCAAGTCAGCTGTTTGTTTTTTAGTGCGTTGAAAAAGACGAAGCGGTCCTGAAATTATGGGATTCGAATATGGAAATGGGATTATTTTCCATTGATATTTCAATGGAAATCTTTCAAAAGTTTTGAATAGTTGTCATGCTTGTGGTTCCCCAATCACGAAGATTCACTTAAAAACTCTCCAAGTTTTCTATTTTTTTATGCCTGGCATAAAAAAATTCCGACTGATTCTCACTAAGCCAGCAAAAACTTTTATATGGTTTTTTATTTTTTTGCTCGGAAAACACGAGGTGTTATTTTATCCTTTGTTTACGAGCAAGCCGATGTTCCGCAGGATTTCACCTTGCTCATGGCCTGGAAAGGTCAAATTTACTGCAATCGACCCAACCAAACACCTCCATGACCAAACAGAGAAATTGCTAGACCTAGATTTCAATAGAGGTGAAAACAAAACAACTTTTCAGCATAATCACCGCTTTCTATAAGTCTTTCACTGAGTTTGTCATGTAGAGGCCAGCTGCACAGAGTTCAAAGTGTAATGTGCCGTAAATCAAAATAACAGGCCTAGATACTGTGTGAAATCACGCGTGATAATGAGGCATTCCTCCCTGCGGTTCGTTTTCCGGTTCCCGGATTTTATAGAGGATGCCACCAGAGCTTTGTGCTGATGTTTTCGATAACTGTGCGAGAATGGTAACTTCCACTTCAAAATCTTCCCGTTATGTTTCCGTGTCCTATGGGCGACTAGTGGAGCATTTGGTTTAACTTTAAGTTTACCGACCAGCTACTCTTTTATACGCCTGCAGAGTGGTCTAAACGTATCGACAATGTATTCGTCCCCGCACGCTTTACAAGAGATCAGATAAACTGTAACCGAACTCATTCAATTACCCTCTCTGCCATTGAGCCGTCTCAATCAAGTGTTTCAATCACTACCACCGAATTCTCTAGACCAGTCCTACTTAAGCAACATTTCATAGCTGCATTTATTTCGTTTGAAAGGAACGGCAGGATGAACATGGCTTTATTATTGCTAGAATTATCGTTTGTGGTTTTGATTTTTCTCTGTACCTATTCCGCGGAGCTACAGTTTAGTAACCAAAGGAAACAACTATTTGCAGCACCAGTTTTTGAGATTCCTCCTTCTTCTCTTTTCCTGTGCACACAATGGTTGCTGTTCGAAGCATATTCCTTACAAGCGCCTTTTTTTGTGAGAGTGGTGAGAAGAGAGGTAATTAACCAAGATGTTTTTACTACTTGGCTTTCGGTACCACTTCCCAATATAGCCATTTTCGAATAGGTCGGCTTGAACGTTCAGAAATTCGAGCCATTTTTCTTCCGGTTTCTCTCGGGTGAACTTAATATACTCTGACTGTCCATTTAATAACTCAAAATATTTGACCAATCCTCCTGTGTTGAGCCAATGACGAAGCAGTTATCTATACATCTAAAGCACAGTAATGACCGGAAATCAGGGGCATAAAACATCAATAAAAGAAGAACAATATTTCACTAAGTGAAAGTGAAGCGTATTGAAAGTCGCTTTGGTAAAGTATTGGTTTGTTATGTCCTAGCTATTGTAATACCGACTGCTACAGGATAAATTGTCGAAATGAAAACAAATCATTATTGATCTACAATCAGCCATTAACCATCCTCTGTAAAAGAGCATCACCAGGCCAGCTTTCTTCATTAGAGCGGTGCTCCGCTCAAAACAATCCAACTCGATACGACAACAAAAAACCACAGTACGAGGACGAACGACTGTGGACCATCGCCCCGGATCATCGAGTCTGAAGAACGCGAAAACTTTGAAACGTTAGAAAAAAAGGATTATATGACAACCTCGTGTAAGTTCAACAACTTAAATAAAAGACTGGCTATGATTATAGGAGGCAGATAACACCGTGGTAGTGATGTCCGTCATGACGAGCATGGTTCTAGCTCGATTCCGATCGGGATTAATCAAGCCTCTCATCCCTCCAGAGTCGGGGAATTGGTACTGGTCTTATCTGGAAAAAAATCACTCTTTTCAATCCAATTGGGAATGCTCCAGTCCGGCTAATTTAGAACTCCAGGGAGAATTGCTCAACCAGCATTCTACGACACAGATGAAAAGAAAATCCTCAAGCAACAACCGAAGCCACATGTAAAGGTTGGAAAATCTTCGTCGACAACGGATGTAAGAAAGCGAATCGAATGTGAGAAGTGCTAGGATCGGAACAGTAAATGTGAAGACTGGCTACATAAAAAAATTTTCATTTTTGTGAACCTAACTATAAAAAGTTTTTTATTATTTACAACCCCTATTCCACGGATCTCCCTCATATGAGGGATTTCGAGCCGATTCGTCGCGAGGCTACGTGGCGCGTCCCCAGGTGGCGGATAGGGGTTAATCGAGAACGAAAGCGACTTTTGCTTTCCTGAGACGCAGGTGGATCCAGGGGATGGACTCCCTGTTTCTGCTGCGCTGATATGGCACACACATCCTGTATTTACGAGACGGATTCATGCACTTGTGTGTGGGTGCGTTCTTGCTTATGCGGATTGTATTCTACAATTCAATTCGGCCGAAAGCCTGCAGTCAATTGGCTGGGAACTATATGGGAGGCGGTTAGAAGTCGCCCCCAACAAATAAGCTTCATACCCACTCTGGGAGAGATATCCAGCCTCCACGTTCAGAGCCTAGCAAGCCATACGTGGGTGTCAAAATGCTAAACAGTAAAAAAAAACGGGCGTCATTTTCCTGACCCTAAAAGAGCCCCCAATTCCGCAGCGTTGGGTAGGGCGAGCACGGAGATGCTGCTAAAATCTCAGGGCCAATGGAGGCTGCCTGTATTTCGAAGAACTATGGTGACGATTGGTACTTACAATGCATGTACACTTGGATCCGAGCCCTCGATAGAAGACTTGTTCATGCAAGCAAGAAGGATAAAGTACGACGTCATCGGCCTGGCAGAGACGAGGAGACGCCAGCCTTTCAACGCCGTCTATGACACCGGAGAAGAACTGTTCCTCGGAACATGCGACAGTAGAGAGGCCGACGGCGTCGGCATTCTCGTCAACACGAGTTTGTCCATGAACATCGATTCATTCGAAGAACAAACAAACCTAATCGAATGCTTGCCCTTAAAAAGATGTGGTTGAATATCGGCCTTAACAATCTTCGTCGTTTACGCGCCGACATCAAACTATGACGAAGAAGAGGTCGAAGCGTTCTATATGGAATTGGACAAGTTCTACAGACAAGACCACACATTCTTCAAGGCCATCATTGGAGATTTCAACGCCAAGACTGGACCAAGAAGAATGTCTGAAGAACGTCACATTGGGATCCATGGATTAGAATGGAACGAACAAGGTGAGCGGCTATCTGAGTTTATCATGGCGACCAAAAACAACCATGGTAACTCACCAATCCAGAAGCCCCAACCTCAGCGATGGACGTGGGGGTCTCTCAATGGAGAGTACTATAACGAAATAGACCACTTTATAGTAAATAGAAGATTTTGTCTAACCTATGTCGCTGTTGTACGAAAATTCTACACGGGACCAGACCACCGTCTCCTTCGGGCAAGATTTTATTTCTCGCGGAAAGGAGAAAAAGCCGTTAAATTCAAAAACCGAAGTTCCAAAACCACCACAAACTGGGACTTATTCAATTGACCAGTCGGCTATTGGGAAGATACCGTTGTGGATAAGATCGACGAAGAATACGATGGGCTCGTTCAACATCTTCACGCTAGCGCTATGAAAGCTCAAAGTTCGAAAGTCACCAAAAGACTCCTGTCTCCAGAAAAACTCGAGATGATACGCCACCGTGGAATCGCACGAACTGCAGGCAACTGCGAACTAGCGTACAAACTTGCAAAACAATGCAGGCAGGCGATAAAAGAAGATCTTATATACAGAAAAGCAGCAGTAATGGTCGAAGCTGCAGAGGCTGGAAAAAGCATTCGCAAAACCCACCGAAGCTTGGCCGATTACAAGACCAAAATGATTGCTCTCCGACGCCCAGACGGCACAGTTACAGCCCCCAAAAAGGCAATGTAGAAAATCATTCACGAATCCTACTCCGATCTCTTCGATAGCCACGTCTACCTTCCATAGTGTGAAGTAAAGGAGGATGGATATGTTGTACCACCGGTTCTCCCTTCCGGAAACCGATATGTCATTTCGTCGGTGAAAAATCGAACAGCCTCAGGTCCGGACACGATAAGACCAGAACACCTGAAGAACCTTCCGCCAGACCACGTAAACGCAGTGGCTCGGCTCTTTACACGTTACTTGTCTGAATGCAAGGTCCCTGCTCAGTGGAAGACCAGCATGGCCGTGTTATTATTCAAGAAGTGTGACCTGCACGATATCGGCAACTATCGCCCAATCTACTTACTGTCTGTCGTCTGCAAACTTTTCACTCGAGTCATCATAAACAGGATTGACAGAACACTCGACGAAAGACATGTGAGAAAGCAGGGTTTCGAAAACGATTTAGTACGATGGGCCACGTCCACATGATAACAAGACTCACTGAAGTATCGCGAGAGTACAAAGGACCGCTCTGTCTCACTTTCGTTGATTTACAGAAGGCCTTTGATTCAGTTGAGATAGAAGCAGTTATAGATGCCCTTGATAGTCAAAGAGTCCTTACTCAGTACATAAGGATTCTTCGTGAGCTGTACAAAAATTTCACAACCAAGATATCACCATTCTACAACGATATTAACATTGACGTCAAAAGAGAAGTTGCGCAAAGCGATACCATCTCGCCAAAATTATTTACCGCCATCCTCCAGAACGTCATGCGAACATTGGAATAGGATAATATGGAAATGAAAGTCAACGGTCGGCAGTTACACCATCTTCGCTTTGCTGATGACATCGTCCTTATAACACCAAGCATTAGGCAGGCGGAAAGTATGCTTGGCGACTTTGATAAAGCCTATGGAATAGTTGGTCTTCGACTAAATCTCACAGAAACGTTGTTCATGAAAAACGG